AGGAGTTGATCCGTCCGGGTTGTAGATAATCCATATATGTGGAGATAAAAGAAAACACAAAAAAACTGCCAATGGTGAAATATTGTAGCTCCAATGGTAAAAATAAGTAAAAAGTACTCACATTTGGTGGAGCTAGGGCCAGCTCTGGGGTGAAGGGCACTTAGTGGTATAATCCCCACTACAAGATGTACTGAAAGGGTAGGTCCGTCTGTCCGGCTTGGGTTCCGTCGTATTTCACAAGGTATAAGAAATAGCAAATAGTGCTCTCAGTAGGAACAGTAAAATAAATAAAATAAAATATACTCACAAGAGTAGAGCAGAAAATACTGCTCTATTGCCACAGCGCTGGTGGAATTATCCCCACCTATGGATTTATTTGGTGGAGCTAGGACCGGCTCTGGGGTGAAAGGCACTTGGTGGTATAATCCCCACTAAAGGATGTACTGGAAGGGTAGGTCCGTCCGTCCGGCTTGGGTTCCGTCGTATTCCACAAGGTATATGAAACAGCAAATAGTGCTCTCAGTAAGAACAATAAAATAAATAAAATAAAATATACTCACAAGAGTAGAGCAGAAAATACTGCTCTATTGCCACAGCGCTGGTGGAATTATCCCCACCTATGGATTTCTTGGAACGGGATACAAATAAAAATAAATATAATAAAAAGAAAAAGAAAAAATGCCAGGAATAATAATAGTAAAAGTGTATGTGAAATACAATAAAATAAGTAAAAGATTGGTCCTATAAAAAAGGTAACCAAAAATAACTTTTATTCTTATAAAATACACTATTTAAAACCATTAACGTGTTTTACCTATGAGGCTTTTAAAAAAAATTCTCCTCCGTTTGGAAGGAGTTTGCCACCTGTTGCGATGGGGGAGTTGGGGTGGCAGTATGTTCGTAAGCATACAATACCAATCCATCACATTGGTGTCAGGCAGGTGCAGGGCTTGTGTAAAGGTAGGTACATCGTGGACTGCTGATATGGTGTGAGTTGAGTCTTGATGGGTTGCTGTTAGAGCGAATGGGAATCCCCACCTATACTTCAAGTTCCATGCTCTAAGGTGGTCAGTGATGGGTCTCAGGGTCCTCCTTGCCTGGAGGGTAGCCAAGGACAGATCTGGGTAGATTTGCAGCGGTAAGTCATGGAACAGAAGAGGTTGCATGGTTTGGCACAAGGCTTTGAGTATGTGTAGTAATGCAGCCTGCAGATAACATCTCCTGGGGCTGCGGAGGAAGCTCCCATCTGTTTGAGACCCCTGTGTGCTTGGTCAAAGAGTACCTGGGGTTTTGGAGATCTGTTGAGGAGAAAATTTAATAGCTCAGTCAAGGTTGTCTTGACTTTTTCTTGCTCACTCTCCGATAGACCTTTAATCATTAGGTATCAAAGTCGTCCATTGATCTATGAAGTGCTGTGGATGCTCGAAGTCATCGCAGCCTGTAGCTGTTGCCCTTGAGAGTACAGCATGTCCCTGTCATCCTCCAGGGAGGTGACTCTGTCTCCAACCTGGCAGACATCTGTCCCTATATTTTCCAACTTTGATTGGCATGAGGACTCCAATTTGCCTAGCATGTTGGCTAGGTCGCCCTTGGACGGTAGATTTCATACAGCTTCCCTGATATCCATATCCGCGGGGTCCTGCTGAGGGATCCTGCTTAGCCCTCATGGCTTGAGAACGCCGAGCCGTCCTGCAAGCATATGGGCGCCATGTTTAGGCCTCACGGGCTTGTTAAAGTTCGGCATTATCACGGAAAACTTGGTTAGAGCGACCTATTTGCTTGGTGGATGTTTCCCAGACAATTGCTGGGATGCTAGAGAGCTTTTTGGGTGTCCCATTGTGGGTTCTTAGCCGGATGTAAGCGGATTTGCTGAAGGCTAGCATAGAGAGCAATCAATGCATGTCCATACAGCTCGGACGTTGGATCCGCCCCCAGAGGTTGTGTTTTTTTATGCAACCTGACCTGCCATTAATTTTTCTATAAATTATTACACCGGTTCGCATTGTTTACGTTATATATCATCCTGTATATAATTACACATGAAATGCCAATTTCAAAATCAATTTGACTGAGTTCTTAAAGACTGAATTCCGAGTTTGACTGAATTCTTAAGTGCCTCTAGCAGCTATCAGACAGACAGCCACTAGAAGTGTATTTAACCCTTCAATGTAAACATTGCTGTTTATGAAAAAACGGCAATGCTTTATATTGAAGGGCTCAAATTAGATGAAGTGGTCTGAGTGACTTTAGTAATCTTTCAATATGATGCCTTCCATTACCTACACTTTATTTTAAAAATGAATAAGAAGTGTGTACAGTGCATTAGATTGTCTGCAGATGCCCACCTCCAAAGATGTCAGCATGCCTGCTGATGTGTTCCGCAATCCTATTGAATCCAATGCTTCTCTTAGCATTGGGTTGGAGATACACATGTGCAGCCAAACACCAAGCTCCTCCAATCAAATACTGCTATGGGCAGACCGAGGTTGACTGAATTCTTAAGGACTGAATTCCAAATTTGACTGAATTCTTAAGTGCATCTAGCAGCTATCAGGCAGACAGCCAATAGAAGTGTATTTAACTCTTCAATGTAAACATTGCTGTTTCTGAAAAAATGGCAATGTTTTACATTGAAGGGTTAAAATGAGATGAAGTGGTCTTAGTGACTTTAGTAATCTTTTAATATGATGCCTTCCATTACCTACACTTTTTATTTTATATATGAATAAGAAGTGTGTACAGTGCATTAGATTGTCTGTCTCTTTTTGCAACCTGTGGTGTACACAGAGCTAGTCAAGTGGATGTAATCTGGTAGCAGATGTAACGGCACCCCAAGCATAAAAGGGGTTAAACCACCGTTTAGTAGATCTTCCCTTCCAGAGACACAGGCACAGTTACTGTAGACACCAATACACCGAACCGGAGAAGCATACGAATGCTGTAAACAGCCGAATAGGAAAAACCATATGAATAGGTTTACACTCCTAGCAGTCAAACTGGAACAGCATACAATAAATCCACCCAAGAACGAGACAAGGCTCCGTTTTGAGGGTCAAGCAGGAACAGACAGAGCTGTGGGTTTATTGTTCTTATATACACATTCTTACACATTAGTACCACCCACAGGGTTTTGGAAAACAACCAATAAACACATACAATACACTCAGACACTCCCACACAAAATCCTCCCCTCTGCCTGTGATACAATTACCTTACACAATGGGTTAATGTAATTATCACAGCCAGAGAAATACAGTTTTTCCACATTATTCATAACTTTAAAAGTATGCATCACATTCACATTTTCAGAATCTGCATACTCCAAATACAAACATATGTCAAAATCATCCAAATTGGTCCAGTGGTTCAAAAGATAGATCGTAGTCCTTTGTGACCAAAGGAAGCATGGCTTTTCTGCCCAAAACCAGTTCCACAGAGTCTTCTATCCTGGAGATAATTGGGAAGTAATACAATTATCTCCAAGGACAAGGCAAAACGCCATTAAGCACATGGCATTAAAATGACAGTAAATACAATAAAATACACAAGGTTACATTTATGACATAAAATACAGACATGCAACATATGCCCAGATAGCTTAGGTCTGAGCGCACATTATTACTGAATGGCTCTCAGACCACACACATACAGTTCAATTGCCATGGAGCCAAAGTCTTTCCAATAGTCTTTCATTATACGAATGGGCTCCATGGCATAGCTATATGGGGTATCACTGCTCAAACAGGGCAAGCACTGAATGACCCGGCTTTCGTGTCTTTGCAGGGGAAAATCAAGCATTTCAACATGGGGCCATAGTCTAAAGGCAGCAGGCGGGCAACCAGGCTCCTCCAATGCACAGTGGCGAGATTGGTCTCGTCACAGCAGATTTCTTATAAATGTGAGTGCATATATGAATTGTTTATGTGAAACTATGTATAATGTGTGTCTCAGGGACTATATATCATGTGTTTATGTGAGCTTGTACATAATGTAAGTAGGAAATGGATGGTGAGTGGATTGCTGATATTGACTATGTTAAAAAATATATATTGTAGACTAGAGCACCAAAAGGTGAAAATCAGGCTTATCTGGTATATAATAAGGAAAAGGGTAGCCTCTGGGCAAGAGGTGGGAGTCACCCATAATGAGGTATGTACTTAAAAAATAACTTTTATAATACTAGATAAAAAATCTAAAGTACTAGATATAAGAAAATAGTGAAAATGTGAAAAAGAAACTGAACCAATATAAGAGAAAGTTGCCCTCAACATCTGAGGAAAGAGATTTAGGGCTAATTATTTCAGAAGACTTAGAGGTAGGCAGATAATGTAATAGAGCAGGAGGAAATGCTAGCAGAATGCTTGGCTGTATAGGGAAAGGTATTAGCAATAGAAAGAAGGAAGTGCTCAGGGCCGTCTATAATATGAATAGGACCCTGGGCAAAGCATTTTCTTGGGCCCCCTGGGCCCTGTCCCTGCGCCCCCTCCCTATTACGCCCAACCCGCAATCACACTGACAGATATACTGACACATACACACACAGACAGACATATTAAAACATTTGCAGATACATACTGACACACACATACACTGACACACAAATATATACTGGCAAATATATTGACACACATTCAGACATACTGATACACACACAGACACACATACATAAAAACAGACACATACACTGACATACTGACACACACACAGACACATACACTGACAGAAATACTGAAACACATACACTGACAGGCGTATTGACATACACAGACATACTGACATACACACACAGACATATACACACACAGTATGTCTGTGTGTGTGTGTGTGTTAGTATGTCTGTGTGTGTGTGTGTTAGTGTGTGTGTGTTAGTATGTGTGTGTGTGTGTTAGTATGTCTGTGTGTGTGTGTATGTCAGTATGTCTGTGCGTGTATGTTAGTAAGTCTGTGTGTGTGTGTGTCAGTATGTTTGTGTGTGTATGTCAGTGTGTGTGTATGTCAGTGTATGTTTATGTCAGTGTGTGTATGTGTATGTCAGTGTGTCTGTGTGTATGTCAGTATGTCTGTCATACTGACATACACACACACAGACATACATACACACACACACAGACATACTAACACATACACACAGACATACTAACACATACACACAGACATACTGACATACACACTCACACACACACACACACACACACACACACAGACATACTGACATACACACACACACACACATACATACACACACACAGACATACTAACACACACACACATACATACACACACACACACAGACATACTAACACACACACACAGACATACTGGCACACACACACAGACATACTGTGGGGATATTTATGGGATAATAATAGTAAACAGTTGAGAATTGCCCACTAATTCAATTCTCAGATCCCAAATATCGTTATCGTGTTAAGTGAAATGTATTCCATATAAATAATATTCACAGTTTATAAAAATAGATTTTATTTATAATAACAAGTTAATTAATAATAACATGTAACATGCATGACAATAATCAATGAATATCCAGTATAAAATGGTATGCAATACAAAGGAATGGGTATTACGTTTCAATGGGTAAACAGCATTATCTGTCAAGATTTTGACGATTTATGAGGTATCTTTAACACAGAGAGAAAGCGAAACTTTTCACAGTGAAGAACAGAATTCCTCAGAGTGCAGCGCAAGGTCGTAAAGTTTAGCTGACAGTTAGAATAACCCTTTCAATGCTGGCTAGATCTCCTGGGTAATTAAGATCTATTCTTATGTAATTTATAAATAAAATAACATTTAAACCAGTTCATTAGTCATTTCCTGGAACCATCCAATAAGAGAATCTACCATATTATATAAGCAGATTTTAATTTGTCTAAAAGATATCTTATCTTAATTTAGAGCAAATCAATACACCTGGATAAAAACAGCGGTATGCTAACACGTGATAATATCACATCAATATATAATTATTCTTAATTCCACCTGCAGAATGGAATGTTTATAACTATATATTCTTAGTTAACTAAGATTTCTTAATATGGAAATCTGACCGTGCTTTATCCTAGTCATATATCATGCTATTAATACATTTTAATTAATTTAATTTAATTAAATGAAACCAGTATAATTACCAGTTGAGTAGATATTTCATCCGATTGGTAGTCTCAGGAACTTATTTGGATGTCTCTCTGCATGGAGGTTGGAGTCCCCAAACTTCCAATTCCTCTCTCCTCTCCTTTGCATCTCTTGCATCTCCTGTCTCCCCTTTGTCTTAACTTTTAAAGGGCCAGACTCTCTGTACGTCACCAGTTGATAACCCAATAGAAGCACTAGAGGTGTGGTTATCTTCCAGATCGCAATTTAGGTATTTGGTCTATAGAGGGCAGTCTTGTCCCACTAAACATACCTATCCAGGAAAGAGTTAACTTTTCCTGGTGGCTATTTTGACGTCATTTTGGCCTATCTAGATAGTGGCCATAACTTACGTATCCTTCACAGATCAAAGGGTTTATTTAAGTTTTGTCCAGACTATGTGTCTGGCAATCTGAGTTTTGACCCGTAACTTACAATGGGACCTTATATGTATAGACAGTTAAATTGTATTATTTAATCTTCTCTGTCACAATTGTCTGGGTTTAGAATTGATTATATTCTTCTATCACTTGTTTATACTATGCTATGCATTCCTTAGCTCTGGCAAAGTGGCTAGTCTTACAGAAAGAAATCTTGTGTCTTTTTGTTAACTTGGAAATAACAAAATGGAGTCTGCTCTGTTCAGAGTGACTCAGAATATACACTTTTAATTTCTATCATAGCACAAAATGTCTGCCGATATAAATACCCTGACATAACCCCCCTTTAGTGCATTTCATAGCCAAAATTAATTTAGCTTATGAATAAGCACTATAGAAGTTATCAGACATATTGTGCAATCACATCATTTCTAACATAGGCCCGTGCGTGGAATGAACATTTTTGTATATAATTGTACCTGTAATAGTTTTGAACTTTACACTTAGTACAATCAACCATAATATCATTATTATCATAATACATTATTTTCATTTGAAAAATGTCTTTGGGGGTTACATATGGTATGGTCAATAAAAAGCAAATCTCCATACGTTCCGGATCAATTAAGAGAGGTATAGCGCTCCCCATCTCAAAGGCCAGATTTAATTGCATAGGCACAATTGTCTCTCCATCCACATTGGCAAGCATCGCATGAACAATATCCTTGGATACAAAATACAGAGGTATGCGTCCCCCTGCCAATTCGATCATTCCAGTTTGCACTTCGCCAAGAAAAGCAAGTGTGTGGAACAATATTGGGTCATGCAGAAATAAAAGTTCACGCTTAAATAAGTCATGACTTTGGTGCAACTCAGTGGATTTGGCAATTAATTCCGAATGCAAATTTGTTGTAACAACTGTGTCTTCCACAATAGTTAACACGTCTTGGAGAAGTGTTCTTTGCTGTTGTATCACCTGATGAATATCGTTAATGTGTTGCTTTAGTGCATAGATTTCCATATCCAGCTTTTGGACAGTGATAGAGTTGGCTGCAGACATTCCAGTTGCGACAACTGCACCGACAGTGGCACAAACTAATGCAACAATTATAGCGGTGAGGAACCTTTTGGGTCAGTTGCTCATCGGAATAGAACTGGATACAAATGGTTTCCGGGCTTGCTCCAAGATGTTTCGCACACGGTCCTGTGCTCTTTGGAGGTGCATCTGGTACCAAGTCTGTAACTCAGGAAGCTGCATCGATGAAATGTTGTATGCCTTCTCGATGGAAATCTTGGGGTCCAAGCTGACGAACACACGTCGGGTCAGGATCCTCTTCTCTGTCAAGATGAACCCTGGTGTCTCTTGAATCAGGATGCCGGAGGATGGTCCCATCTCTGCGATCGGGTCGGTCCGTAGCTCTTGGCACAGGAGCAGTACGATCCAGAAACACGCCACATCCTTCTTGGACATCTTTCGACAGTCACGGATCAGGAACTCGTTCCAGACTTATCTACTAATGATTCAAGGTTTGTTAAGCATACAAACTTATAACAGTGTGACATCACTTGGCCTAGGACAACACATTATTACGATTCATCAACATATGTATTCTCTCTAATTCTATTTTTATAACTTCATCCCTCACTACATTTATTACTGACTCCTCAGCAATATGCCTATAGCAGTTAAACAAGCTGGTAACCTGCTTAGAAATGTAGTTATTGGATGGCGAGGAAATGGTTAATGACATGAACGTACATGAGATCATGGCACATCACAACATTTCACATCATACTATACCACGTGAATCAAACATTCATCCAGGTTAGTCGTTCACCCTTCTGCATCCGAATCCGCACCTATAATCCTTAATTGAGATTTAGGATGACAAGCACGCAACTGGTTAATGGGAACCCACTTTTCAATAAAATCACCATACTTAGGAATTTTTATCTTGTACGCTACTGGGGAAATTTTGTCAATGATGACATATGGCCCTTTCCAAGAAGGTAAAAATTTCTTTTCCTTGACTTGATTTCGCGCAAAGTTATACAGATAGACTTGATCTGTGATCTCATATTCCTTTTTCGTGGTTTTTAGATCGTAATAGGTCTTAACCCCTGTCGCTGCTTTTTCTAGATTCTTTTGGGCAAAAGCAAATGCATGCTGTAAATGCTTGCGCAAATCTTCGATATACTGATGCGTAGTGGCAGCATTGATCAAGTTATGATCTGAAGTACGATATAGTAAATGCTGTGGTAAAACCATCTTTCTTCCTGTCATCAATTCAAAAGGTAACAATTTGGTAGCAGTGCTAGGTGTAGCTCTAATCGCCATTAAAACTAGGGGCAATTTAATGTCCCAGTCTTTACCAGACTCCTTAACATACTTCTTCAGAATATTAACGATAGACTGGTTATATCGCTCTACCCCCCCGCTAGACGCAGCGCGGTATGCAATATGTAGCTTTCGTTTAACACCTAGAATGTTCCACATCTTAGCCATTACTTCGCTGGTAAAATGACTACCTCTGTCTGACTCAATTCTTTGAGGCAGACCGAACCTGGAAAAGACATGGTTAATCAACAAAGTGGCGCACACGGTACTCGTGTTCTCTTTACAAAGCAAACATTCTATCCACTTTGTGTACATACATGTAACGGTTAACATGTATTTGTTACCTCTTGAAGATCTTGTTACAGGACCTATAAAGTCAATTTGAATATCAGACCAGGGTAATGACACCCCCCTCTTCTGAAGTGGTGCACGATGGGTTGGACCATGGGGTTGATATTGCGGACAAATCAAGCATCCCTGACAGTATGTCTTAACATCCCTTAACATGTGTGGCCAATATGCATAATCACGCAATATCTCATATGTGATCTTATCACCACGATGCCCAGATGTAGGTGCATCATGTGCGTGTTGGAGCATTAACCCTCTGTATACAGTTGGGACTACCCATTGTTGTATACCATGTTTAGAAGTTCTGACCAGTAACCCATCCATGATACTAAATTGGACTTTATATCTCATCAAGATTCGTAAATCTTCATTATCTTTGCAATCCTCATCTGTGATGGGATTGGCAGTAGGGTCTTCTATATGTCTATAGAATATGCCTATGACGGGATCATTCTTTTGACTGGTAATCAGGTCCTCACTAGGAGCTTCTTGACTCCATTGCACGACGTTTAAGTCGGCATTATCTCTAGCCTGTCGTCTAGTTATGGCTTCAACATGAATTGAACCCATAAGATCATCAATATTTAGGGTTTCACCATTGATGGCAGCTTGTTTTGCCAGTGAATCAGCTAAGTCATTACCATCCTTGTCAATACCTTCTATTTTAGAATGGCCTTTGGTTTTCTTCCAATATATGGTTAAACCATTTTCCTTAACCAGTTCATCGATTTTACAAAACAATTTCCCATGTTTAACAGGTTTGTTATTGCTTTTCAGCATTTGGTTACGTTTCCAGCTAGGCAGATATTCAACGAAACTGTTGCGAACATATTTGGAATCAGTTATAATAACAAATTCTTTGATACTATATTCTATTGCCATTTGAATGGTCTTATATACTGCACAGAGTTCGGCTATCTGACTGCTTTTGGGACCAATATGGTATCCTATAGATACATTGGGATAATCACCTATCCAGGCGATTCCGATACCTGCAACTAACTTCCGTTCAGCACCAACGACGTGGTGATATGAACAACCATCAATGTATACCCACGGTAGTGGTCGACAGTATTCCTCGTCATAAACTTTATAAGGAGATAGCAATTGCTCTTCTAGGAAGTCATCTCCGGTGTCATTATCATCCAGAGATGGAGCAGTACAGTCGTGTAATTCTGCTAAACCTTGGGCAACTGGGCTTCTCTTATTATGTTTATAACGGACTTCTAACGGCCATCCCTGTAAGGATAGAGTCCATGCAGTAATCCGACTGTTAGAGAGATTACCATCTCTGATTCTTTCACTCTGCAGATACTGTAGAGGTTGGTGAGCTGTTTCTACAATTATTTTCTCACCTTGGATATAGCTACGAAAATTTTGTAGTGCCCAGACAGTCGACAATAACGCCTTCTCACACGTGTTGAATTTAACTTCAACAGGTGACAAAGTCTTGCTAGCATATGCAATAACTTTGTTAAGACTATCCTGCTTCTGATACAGAACAGCACTTATGCTTAAATCGGTATAACCTGTCTCCAGATAGAAGGGTTTACCCCCCTCTGGGTATGCTAAACAGGGTGCCTGAGTGAGCTTCCTCCTCAGTTCACTTACCGCTTGGTCCTGAGGCTCCCCCCAGTTCCAGGTAGTTTCCTTTTTAAGCAGGTGTAAGAGTGGTTTAGTTATTTCTGCATAGTTATCTATAAACTTACGGGAGTAATTAGTCATACCAAGGAACGATCTTAATTCCCTGATGTTTGAAGGTGTTTTAGCCTTTAGTACGGCTTCAACCTTCTTCCTCTGGGGATTTAATCCTTCAGAAGTTACTTCATGTCCGAGGAAATTGACATGGGTGCGACACCATTGCGCCTTTTGTAAAGACAGTTTAATCCCTGCCTCTCTTAACTGAGTGAGAACATGTCTAATCTCTATGATATGCTTATCAAAGGAGGTGCTTTTCAGCAAGACATCGTCGACATATGATAACGTTCCTCTCTCGAGTGCGTCAGGCATAGCTTTATGCATGAACACAGCAAATTCATGACCAGAGTTTATATAACCGAAAGGCATACGGGTCCAGGTATACTGCTGCTTTCCAAATGTGAAGGCCAATTTGTATTGGTCTTCATTATGGACTGGTACAGTCCAATATCCCTGCGCACAGTCAATGGCAGTGAATATTTTGGATCCCTGCATTTGTACCAAACATTGGTCTATGTATGGCGTTGGCCAACCAGACATATAGACGCGTTTATTTAGCTGTCGTAAGTCAGCGCATAAACGCCATTGTCCATTAGGTTTCAGAATCCCCAAGATCGGATTATTATACGAACTGTGCACTGGACGTATAATGCCCCTTTCCTTTAAATTCTGAATGATTTCCTTTAGCTGTTGTCGCTCAGCATCGTTGGAGCAACCGTCAGCTAAAGATATTTGCTCTTCTAGCCTTTCCTGAAATCCTGGAAAGATTTCAGGCTGGCCTATCTCATAAGCTTCTTCAAGCCTAGAAGTTAGGTCAGTTCGGTGTTGACTTACCTTTTCTCTTTGGTCGTGATACTCTTGTGATTCCTGCTCATTGAGCGGATGATCGAAGGTGATTGATGCTTCTTCGATTTTACACGAGCCTTCTTCAACGTTGAAGGGATATACAGATAGGATAGTGAATAATCCTTCTGGGGAGGAATGGAATATTTGATCGACAATTTCGTCCTCAGTTAAGTATTCTTCAGGGATGAGGCCTATAATTTGGTTTTGGAAACCAAATGTATAGTACTCAGCATCCAATGCTAGACCTAACAATGTTCCTTTTGGTAAAGTAACACTATTGGGTGTAACATTGTTTACCATGATATAGGTGGGATTCTTACCAATACTTACCATTGGTGTATGTGTTACCACCATCCCTAATTGTTGTATCCTGTTGGATAAACAGATTAGGGCATCAGAGTTTTCCAATCTCTGACCCTCCTTGACCTGTAGGGGTAAAAGAAAATTACTTGTCCCCTGTGGAATGGTTATGTCATCAGGAACTTGGATACTTACCGCATATGGGAGTATTTGTCCTGATTTCAAGGCGTTTTCCTCGTGAAGGTATCCACAAGGATTACCTTTTAACCTTGTCCACAAATTGGAATTAATCAGATCAAGGTGTATGGCAAAGCAATGTATGACATCATTGCCAACGTAAACCTGATAGCGAGGTTCGTTTATCACTAGGAATAAATGTTTAACGGTCTTATTTCCGATGGAAATAGATAGTAAACATTTTGCTATCACATTGTGACTCTCTGATTCGCCATCCAGATTCTGGATCCACCTGTCATGTGGGGAAGCGTACCTGATCATTTTAGGATTAGCGATCTGCTTTAACAGACTTCTGCTAATATAGCTGTTCTCACTCTTTAAGTCCAGCTTTGCATTCCTACTTCTTCCTAAGTCATTTATTTGAATAGGAAAGAATAAGTTGTTATTAACCCTTTCAATTCTGGCAAGGAATTGAGCATGACCTGCCAGATCTACAGATTCAACATAGTCCCTGTGGAGAGAAATGGTTAAAACATCACCTTCCAGAGAGACATTCTGGATCCTCCTTGGAGCAATTCTTATGGAATGCTCATCTACAGGTGCGATTGCATCATTCACCTGCAGGATAGTCACGTCAGGTGACTGACTATTTCTAAAATGTACCTCAATCGAGTCAGGTCTTTCTTCTATCACATGGCAGTTACGATCAGATTGTACATGTGATTTCTCATAGGTTATAGGAACTTTAGCTTGTGACCATACAATTCCATTCACACAGTCAATAATTGTGTTGAGTCTTCTGAGTATGTCTATACCCAGAATCAGTCGGTCATAGGGGAGATCTACCACTATCACCGGGTGTCTAAAGGTTTTGTTACCTATTTTAAACTTTAACCAGGTATTGCCAATAACATGAAGGGCATTTCCTCCTACACTCAACAGAGCATTGGGGAAATCTCTTAGCTTCGGCTTATCCGTTGCTAAGTCCATTACCTGCTGGAAGTAGGTATTGGATAAGATAGTGGCTTGTGAACCAGTATCTATTAACCCTTTAAAAGGCTGGGGTAACGAATCCTGTATTTCTACAGACATGTAGTACCTTCCTTCATGTTCTTCTAATTCACATAAGAATTTAGAATGTGTCAACATATTACTTGTTTTCCATACATTACCGGTCACAGCAGTAGTTTCTACCTGTACCGAGGAATGCTCAGTCTTACCCACAGGCCC